CACTGGGGGCTGTTTTCTCCAAACAAGCAGCCTAAATATCAAATGAACTTCAACTAAGGGAATTAATTAGGAGGAAAAATAAGGGCTAAATACGGGTAAATAAATGTATGGGGGTTTGTTTCGCCATGTTTAACGTTGTTGTATTACTAAATAAATGCATTTTGTTAATGGAATGCAAAATTCTTCTATGTGTATGTACACCAAAAGAAATACCAACGACCTGTTGGTTCAAGTAGAAGGAGTTCGGTTTTCTTTAAATAAGGTTTCAAGTTCGATTCTTATGAATGGAGAAACAGACGCTTAGAGATCTTCCCTCCTAATAGGGTCCGATGCGTGTTTGATTCCGAATTAATTGAGACCCAATGTGATTATCAGATACCGGGAGGTTAATACAAAAAAATATATATATATATATATATACACTCAAAGAAATTCTCATATAAATGTATGTATGAACTTAATTTATTAAGAATTCTTTATTTTACATTTTAAATCATAATAAGTATAAGCACTGGCCCTTGAGGCCTAGTGGCATAATCACGGTGCATTCCCCTTCTCTCAGCAGGGTTCAAAGCCTGTCCTTGCAAAATACGTTCAAAAAAAAAAAAATCATAATAAGTATAAAGTAAAAATTAATAAATAGAAGAATAAGTTTAAAGATAATGATTCATGCACCCATCGGTTTGACACCTGATGGGTGCACACTCCACAAACCATATAATTGTAAAGTAAAATTACAAATTTACCCTTAAACCATCTTCTTCCTCACAAAACCCATTTCCTAAATGACAGCAAGAACAAATCATTTGAATCCCAAAAAAACTCAATCAAGCATTCAAGTATCAAATCAAAATATTGAGTAAGTTTCTTAAATGATAGCAACACCGAATCAGTGGAAATTAATTTTCCAAATGACAACACCAAATTTTGAGAAAGAGTTTATTTTCTCATAAAATCATCCTCAATTTAGCTCATGATTTTGTAATCCATTAGACACATAAAACAAGTTTGTTTTTGGGATGATATAGCAAAAAGTGGAGTGCATGTAAGTGGAGTCAATCGGCAGAAAAGAGAAAAGAAAACAGGAGAAATTTCTGCAGTTTTGATACTGCATGCAGCTTTGCTATTTTGTCCAATCTGTAAAATTTCACCGTTGGATTGAGCTAAAATTTTGTCTGGGTGTTCAAGAGGCATTGATCTACATTTTGAACGGTCAATTTTTCATTTAAAGCTTTGTAGATTCTGATTTTATATCCAGAACTGTAACTCATTTTCGATAATCTTCTTT